AGTATTTAAGTCATGTACCTGCTTTTTTGCTGATCCTTAAACGTGGTGCAGCTATGTTTTATCTTGTCGTATGTCTTACTCAAGACGGCTGGATGGAGATTTTTCAAGCTTTTCAGGTAGAACAATCAGGTGGTTTGGTATTTCAAACAAAGAGTCTGTGCAAAAAAGGGCACTTAAGATAGTGCTGTTTTCCCTGCGCAGGAATCCTATACGGACGCCCTGGGTCAAGAAAACGTGCCAACGATGCAAGAGAGAAGAGAAGACTTATGCTGTAAATATATGGAAAGGATAAAATCTAGGGTTTATCCTCTATTTAAATTGTTACCTATGCCTGTTACTTGTAATTACAAGCTCAGAGAGAACTCCGAGAAATTCCTTCTATTTAATAGCTCAATTACTTGCAGGACCAAGAGGGCAGATTCATTTTTTACATTTAGAAATTTGAAGTAACGGCTTTTATAAGTAATATTATTATTCATTTTGATAAATATCTCCAATCGGCGACAAAATGAGTTGAGACACTTCGCCCAAAACTGGGCTTTTTTACGTTTTATTAACTTCAAAAGGAGGAAATATAGCTTTCCTCCCCCATCCCCTCCGTGCAATGTTGTGCCTTTGTTCTAGCTGCCTATAGAAAACAACAAACACACTTTGAATGGAGGGGACAGGGGAGGGGTGCGGATTCTTTTGTTCTCCAAAATTACCCTATTTAAATACAATTTCTCAACAATTTTGTCGCCGATTGTAGGTAAATTAGTGGTATTTTTAAAGTATATTTTGAAATTAGTCTTGTTAATTTTTAAGCCCAGCAATTCAGTATTGATTTTACTGCAATGAGTTTTAACTGATAAACTTTTCAATACACTAGCATTTCCTAGTACCTGATCGACCTTAAATATAATTAAGGCCTCCACGCTATTCTTCTCTTTTCTTTCTTTAACACTTACACTTTTGAAAAGAAATAAATAATGAATAAGAAGACAAAAACAGTTAAAATGAAAAGTTATGTGTGTGTTAGGGATCACTTAAAGTTAGAACAAAACTCTTTGGGGCGAAAAGAAAAAAACAAAACAGAAAATTTACAATTGCTTCAGTGCGACAACCCCAAGGAGCGTGAACCACCAGATTACTAAAATAACAAGAATCGCCGAAAGGCGATTTTTAACTGGGCTGCAAAGGGGCTATTTTTTCCGAGGGGAGAGGGCGGCTATACACACTTAGGCTACTAAACTTTGTCGCCGACCATTGCATGCGACAGAATCTCATGTGAGACTGAAACACAAACTCATTCAGAACATTGTACCCTTTTGAAAGACTTTCGTAACCAAAAAAAGAGTACCATTTTAAAGTGGGGGCTGTGCAATAACTTTTAAATTCCACCATTATGAATAAAAAAAAACAAGTTAGCCATTAATTCTAAGCAGGAAACGATTTGCATTATTTTCACGCACCCCTCCCCCAATCCCTCTGTGCCCCAAAATATAGCGTGACTAATTTGACGTAACCAGAAATCCCAAAAATTGTTGTCGTTCTACGAGCATAAAGTGCGACGGACGGAGCTGATTTGCACTAGACAGAAATATTGTATTGTATGANTGGAAATGTGGAAATATGTCTTCCTTGTCTTCATCTAATAACTCTGGAAGTAAGGAAATGTGGAAATGTGGAAATGTGGAAATATGTCTTCAATGTCTTTATCTAATAACTCTGGAAGTGTGGAAATGTGGAAATGTTCCTCCACTGTCTTTATCTGTTAACACCGGAAGTGTGGAAATGTGGAGAAATGTGTCTTCATTGTCTTTATCCAAACTCTGGAAGTATGGAAAACTGGAAATCTGGAAATGTGTCTTGTTTGTTTTAATCTAATAACTCTGAAAGTGTGAAAATCTGGAAAGACGTCTGGGATGATTTTGGAATTAAAAATAGGACTCGCGTGCGGCGAAATTACTTGCGTTACTTCCGGTTGCCGTCAATCGCAAGACAGTCACATTGCTAGTTTCAGCTCACCGCCCGGCCGCATATTTTTGTAGTTGTCTGTTCGGGAGGAAAATGGACGCCCCTGACTGTTGCGGGTTTGGCTTTTAAGAAATCCGATTGGCCACCAAGTAAGCACGAGGATTTGCTTCACTAAGGATTTTGAAGCTCTTTGCACTATCAATTTTTAAATAAAGGCATAAAAAAGCGCAGTCGTAGTTTGCTCTGACAAACGTACTTATGCAACTGAACCGATGACATGCATCTCAGTTCCTGTTCGGCTTTTTACCATCAACTGCCCTGTAATGTATATCTTTTTCGGGACTTCATGTTCGAATTTATCTTTGTGTGTTTAGTGATGGAGGCCTTCTCTTAAAATATGTATTTTACTATTATTTTTATTATTATTGTTATTACAAATCCCTGATATTAATCAATGTGTGTAATATTGCCATGATAAGGTGACCCTAAGGTCATGCAGAGGTTTAAGAATCATTATTTACAAGGCTTGTCACTACTTTAATTTCATATACATCTCGAAATACATCAGGCCATGGGGGCTATGGGGGCCATGGGTTTTTATAACTATAAAAATCCAACAGTGTCAGTAATTGATTGTCCGTTACATTGCTATATATAACCGTTTTCGGGAAACAGGCGACAAAAGAGAGACGCCTGGTCCTAAGACTGGCTGTGACGCTGTTTGTTGTGTACAGCTATATCTGCCGACCACTATTCACTTTTATGGGCCAGTGCCCCGAATCATCCCCAAGCAGTATATGGAATATGCAATTAAATTGATGACTTACTTTCAGCAACAGCGCAAAGAAATAGACAAGGTAGGAATAATGTCATTTATTTTGTTTTTCTGCCCATATATTTTCATTTCATACTCCTCTCGACTGGGACTGGGTGTTGACTTGATTTCAGGTCAGTTTTCCAGTAAAACCACTCTGAATGAAACCTAATTTCCTCAGTTTACTGACCCTAATCACTAAACTCCAGCAGGATAGTCCATTTTGGGATAGTCTATAAGGGTAGTCCATGGGGATATTGCATGGACTGGGGAGCAGAGTTTTTTGCACCACCTGTGAACATGATCCCTGGCTACTTCCATATAACATGGAAGAAAACTCGAACGCAAAAATTTCCCAGAACTTCAATTCCCTTTCTACTTATTGCACATATCTGGCAAATAGAGATTTTGGTGAAAGGCCTGACAAAATGAAAATATGCATCATGTTCATTAGCCCACCATGGTTTCTTGTTCTGATGAAAAATGTATTTATATATATATGGGTCAATAAAGGATTAAAATCAACATATGTAGTCCATTCTCCTTTGTACAAAGTATATATATATATATATATATATCTGTATGTTTCCATTAAGAACATCATTATGTTTTTCTTCAGATCATGTTGGATGAGGAAGTGGAGAGTCAAGATAGCCTGATAGACAAGATTGACAGTTTTCCGGGACCAGTCTGTACAGTCTCCAATCTCAGGGCATGTGCCTCCTCTAAAACGAGAGTGGTATGGACTCCAGCTGTTGTGAAAGACGCTATGTCAGACTTGGCCAGAGCTGGAATTGGAGAGACAGTCACCTTGGAAAGGACTGTTGCTTTTGTTAAAAACCCACCTGACCATGTAACATACACTGCCCTGTCTCAAAATACTACTCTCAGCAAAGAGCAGTACGAGGAGTGTTTCCTTTTCCAAGATATGAACCTCCCCAATAGTAAGAAGGATGGTCTGATCGCCAAAGCAAGACTATCAAGGGAGATTCAGGGTTACCTGACTCAAAACAAGGAAAATTAGGGACTCAATAATGAAGGATTTCATCACTAGCAAACACGTCATTTGTTAGCTATCTAATTCATGATGGTTGACTGATTATATTACAGGCTTACCAGCTTTTGGTATAAAGCTTTTTGGTTAATTCCCTGGATCCTGCCACCAGATACCAACATTTACACCTTCTCCAAAATAAAAATTTTCAGAGCGAAAGTGCTCCAATCAAACTGACCAACAGCCTGAATCCCACACAATTGCAAAGAACATTTTTTTACAATAAGGAGAGATAGAAAAATTCTACTCTGTTCTTAAATTGGGAGGAAATATCTGAAAATGCTAAATAATATTATACTGATGTGGCATGTAGGGATTTTGATGATTGCCATTTTTGAGACTCCCGCATGTGATTATGGACTGAAATGTACATAGGTTTCTTATACTTGCAGGCTGAATTTGAAATTATCTATTAACCGGAAAAAAACAAGTCGAGTATAACCTAGTTTGTTTAACTTTAAGGTCCTTACCACTGAAATTGACTGAAAGTTTCCGAAAGAGTCTCATTAGGATTTGTATAAATTACATAAATTATGGTGATAGGACTGCTTCGCTCTGTAATGATACGAGTTGGATTGATTAACAAAATCAGACAACACGAAGTTCATTTACAAATTTATTGTAACCATTTAAATCGATATTTTTTTTTTAGTTTTGTTTTAAATTAAAAGTAAGCAGAAGATATTTGAAAGGCGCTTGTGACAGAAAAACAGTTTTATTCTAAGGGAGGGGGCCGGGCTGTACACAAACTACCTGTACCATCATTTAATTAGGCATAATGTGTACTGGCCTTTTATATTAGATTTTGTTTTACTTATGATCACCTTAAGAAATTTGAATACTACTTTCACAGTACGAGGTCGCATTTTCTAACATATATTAAATGCCAGGCCAAATAATGTGTACGATAGTGAAAAGAGATCAGTTAAAGCCATAAAGAAAGCGACGACGAGATATGGTCACAGCGCAGGGTGTCGACATTTTACTTCTTTTAGTATTTTGATAGTTCATCGTCATTTGGAAGACAAAATTATTTTGTGATATTTGTCTGCGAAGTGACGTAAACATATGTAGTAATGACTAAGTTTTAAATCGTTTGATCTTAGAGGTACAGACAACAACTTGCTAAAAAGGATATGCATGTACATGGATAACTTTAAATACATTTCAAAGAACATTACCTAAACGAAAGTCACATTGGGTTGTAAATGCATTCGGCGTGACCTTACTCAGTAATCCTTACGTACATCAAAAATCCGTCTTGTGTGTTTCACAGAAAAAAACAAATTCAGACATTTTAGTCTCGAAAAACAGACATTGATGAAAAAAATCCTAACTGAGACGCATTTTATCGGACCAAGGTGCATAATCTTAAGCATGGTGAAATGCAAACTACCATAATGTTTTTTTCGTACCTCTTTTTTATGCGTTTTTTTAAAAGTTGATAGTGCAAAGAGCTTCAAAATCCTCACTGAAGCACATCCTCGTGCATACTTGGTCGCCAATCGTATTTTTTGAAAGCCAAACCCGCAACAGTCACATTCTGTACAAAAAGGCCGTCCATTTTCCTCCCGAATAAACAACTACAAAAATATGCGTCCGGGCGGTGAGCTGAAACAAGCAATGTCACCGTCTTGCGATTGACAGCAATCGGAAGTAACGCCAGTCATTTCGTCGTGCGCCAGTCCTATTTTTAATTCTCAAATCATCCCAGACACATTTCCAGATTTCCACACTTTCAGAGTTATTAGATTAAAACAAACAAGACACATTTCCAGGTTTCCACACTTCCAGAGTTAGTGATGAAGACACATTTCTCCACACGTCCACACTTCCGGTGTTAATAGATAAAGACAATGGAGGCACATTTCAACATTTCCACACTTCAGAGTTATTAGATAAAGACATTGAAGACATATTTCCACATTTCCACATTTCCTTACTTCCAGAGTTATTAGATGAAGACAAGGAAGACATATTTCCACATTTCCACATTTCCACACTTCCAGAGTTACTAGACAAAGACATTGAAGACATACTTCCACATTTCCACATTTCCACACTTCCACACTTCCAGAGTTATTAGACAAAGACTAGGAAGACATATTTCCACATTTCCACATTTCCACACTTCCGGCCAGAGTTAATAGATGAAGACATATTTCCACATTTCCACATTTCCACACTTCCACACTTCCACACTTCCAGAGTTATTAGATAAATTAAGACAATGAAGACATATTTCCACATTTCCACACTTCCACACTTCCAGACTTCCAGAGTTATTAGACAAAGACAATGAAGACATATTTCCACATTTCCACATTTCCACATTTCCACACTTCCAGAGTTATTAGATAAATTAAGACAATGAAGACATATTTCCACATTTCCACATTTCCACACTTCCAGACTTCCAGAGTTATTAGACAAAGACAATGAGGAGATATTTCCACATTTCCACACTTCCACACTTCCACACTTACAGAGTTATTAGATAAATGAAGACAATGAAGACATATTTCCACATTTCCACATTTCCACACTTCCACACTTCCAGACTTCCAGAGTTATTAGACAAAGACAATGAGGACATATTTCCACATTTCCACACTTCCATACTTCCACACTTCCAGAGTTATTAGATAAATTAAGACAATGAAGACATATTTCCACATTTCCACATTTCCACACTTCCACACTTCCAGAGTTATTAGATAAATTAAGACAATGAGGACATACTTCCACATTTCCACAATGAGACACTTCGCCCAAAACTGGGCTTTTTTACGTTTTATTAACTTCAAAAGGAGGAAATATAGCTTTCCTCCCCCATCCCCTCCGTGCAATGTTGTGCCTTTGTTCTAGCTGCCTATAGAAAACAACAAACACACTTTGAATGGAGGGGACAGGGGAGGGGTGCGGATTCTTTTGTTCTCCAAAATTACCCTATTTAAATACAATTTCTCAACAATTTTGTCGCCGATTGTAGGTAAATTAGTGGTATTTTTAAAGTATATTTTGAAATTAGTCTTGTTAATTTTTAAGCCCAGCAATTCAGTATTGATTTTACTGCAATGAGTTTTAACTGATAAACTTTTCAATACACTAGCATTTCCTAGTACCTGATCGACCTTAAATATAATTAAGGCCTCCACGCTATTCTTCTCTTTTCTTTCTTTAACACTTACACTTTTGAAAAGAAATAAATAATGAATAAGAAGACAAAAACAGTTAAAATGAAAAGTTATGTGTGTGTTAGGGATCACTTAAAGTTAGAACAAAACTCTTTGGGGCGAAAAGAAAAAAACAAAACAGAAAATTTACAATTGCTTCAGTGCGACAACCCCAAGGAGCGTGAACCACCAGATTACTAAAATAACAAGAATCGCCGAAAGGCGATTTTTAACTGGGCTGCAAAGGGGCTATTTTTTCCGAGGGGAGAGGGCGGCTATACACACTTAGGCTACTAAACTTTGTCGCCGACCATTGCATGCGACAGAATCTCATGTGAGACTGAAACACAAACTCATTCAGAACATTGTACCCTTTTGAAAGACTTTCGTAACCAAAAAAAGAGTACCATTTTAAAGTGGGGGCTGTGCAATAACTTTTAAATTCCACCATTATGAATAAAAAAAAACAAGTTAGCCATTAATTCTAAGCAGGAAACGATTTGCATTATTTTCACGCACCCCTCCCCCAATCCCTCTGTGCCCCAAAATATAGCGTGACTAATTTGACGTAACCAGAAATCCCAAAAATTGTTGTCGTTCTACGAGCATAAAGTGCGACGGACGGAGCTGATTTGCACTAGACAGAAATATTGTATTGTATGAACGCCAGAAGTATACTAAAACAGACAACCAACTGCCCATTGATCCCGCCTGATCCGGGGGCCTCTGACTGCACTGAGACTTTGCTGCGCTTTTCACAAACATTCGAACTCTAAACTTCAACATAGGCACGTTAAACGTGCATGAGCTATTTTGAATGCTTCAGTGTAACTTTAATGCTTCAGTGTAACCTTATCAAGAGTGATGAATCTACCTTTTTCGTCCTAAATGTAGACTGTGTTTTTGTGCGAAATTGGGTATTGCCGTACATAAATAAAAACGCGAAACGCTCAGCTGCGTCGATCCTCATGCTATATATTTACTTTCCTCTGTCTTTCCCTGTTACATTTGGTGCAAGTTAAACAAATTGTTAAAGTAAAATAAATATCTACTCACCAAACGTTGATTAGAAGGAAAACACTAAGGTTTCCTCGGAGTTTCTTATGGCAAAATGTGACTCATCGAATTCGAGTAGTTAAGAAATACCAGGATTCTTATCATTGTGGTAGATGGTTGCATCATCACAATTCACGAGGTTTTCACGTGCGATTCTACTCAGTGAAACAGTCCTTAACTCTGACAACTTATTTTTTTATGTTTTAAAATCTATTGCTTCTTAAAAGATAAGAGCCTTTTTTAAGGCAGTGGTTACAAAAAGAAACAGGTCTTCATACGTTCAAGTTACTATTATTATTGAGAAAAGCTAATCTGCATGAGATGTACAGTCACACAACTGGCACGTGAAAGTGTTGGACTTTGCCCCCTTTCGTGGTTCGTACGTGAGGGAATTCGAGTTATCACACAGTAATCTAGTAAACAGAATTATAAAAATAACTCATGCACACAATTTGCACGTGAAGATGTTGGCCTTTGGCCCTTTTACAATCAGTACGTAAAAAAAAACGCAAATTGTTTACTACAAAATTTTCTCAACGATTTTAAGAAATCACCTCGCCTTTATTACAACATCTGCAATTAAATTATGTTTCATGCAACGTCAAGGCTGATAACCTAACATTTATTAACTTCCAAGAAAATTATCAAACTGCCGAAATATATTTCTGGTCATATTATGTTACTTTACTCAATAAAACAGTATCTAATTATTCTGTCAACTTAGCTTCTTCCAATTTCATTCCCTAACGCTACTTTTTTTACTTAAGTAACTCATCTTTACTAAATAAAATACGTTTCAATAACTATAATGCTTAGTATGCAGGAAAGATGTATCATGTTGTTCACCTTTTATTATTTTTTTGTCTTGCCGGAACAAAAAAGGTCTGTTGAACTTTGTAAGCGAGAGAATGATATTTTTAAAGCTTGTTTACAGAATTAACAATACTCGGTACAGCTTTCAAAAAAAATAAGCTGCCTTTAAAACTTGTAAAACTACATTTTATAGGCCGCATACTTTCAAATTAAAGTCCAAATCTAAATATCAATTATTGCTTCACTGGAAGACCTTTGCAAATATATGATCCTTTATACTCTACCTTGAAGCAGGTGAAACACAACTCATAAATACGTGCGTCAGTACCGTTCGCGATAGCCGAATTCGGTCAGAAATGTCTTGAAATAGCATCCACACTAAAATATGAACGCTTAAACAGCTGCATCACTGTACACAGCGTTTGAATCATGAAGGTATTTAATATAATGTTTCCAAACACCTGTAGCCGTAATAAAAGACGAAAAAATTGTTAAGAATCAAGATGGCGGTCTCAAAGTGCCTTTGTTCGACCTTTAGCAATGTCATGTTTAAGTAGATGCCAAAATCTCATTGGTTCCTAAGCATCAACTCATAGTATCTTCAACCTTATTGGCTCTTGCAACAAACATCCCAACATACAAAGCCACAAAGATACAAAGCCACAAGGATACATACGCTCACATCACTGACATATGAGCTATTTTTTCAAAATAGCTCAAAAAGCCACCTTCACAATTGTGTTTTTCGCTGCCGTCAATCATAATTATGATCACAAGCGACGAACCTTGAAACAGAGAAACACAAAACGGATCGAAATCCACAAATCACAAACCATGACCTTTTGAACCAGTGAAGTAAAGTTTTGTTTCCTAAGAGGTCCGTTAAGATAAGATGATTGACAGCAGCGAAAAACGCAATCGTCGGTTGGCTTCTGAACTTCAGAATTCGCACGTTTGTGAGACGTGCAGTAAATAGACGATCGTGATTTGCGGTCTACAGTCTACATGAAAACGTACTATTTTTTCCACAAGAAAATATTCAGTTTTAAGATTTTCCTCTTGGTATTTTTCTCTAACTTAAAGGAATAAAATCCTTTGCATTTTGTGACCTAAAAAAGTTTAAAGATTTCTCGCTCGCATGTTGCTTTCATCAGCACGCAATTCAAACAATGTAAATAGATGAAACGATCGACAACATATTTTTTACCTGATACCGATATGAGTTAAAAATTCGCTCCAGTTCATTGTTTGTCTCCCCCATAACTAACTTTTCTTCACGGACGATAACTATGCCGCTTTATAACTCCTCCAAAGTTTTTGTGCCAGCTAAACAATATGGAATCACTATTCACAGTCCTTGGATATTAAAAAGACTGAACGTGACGGAGTATTGTGACTTTGTTTACTTCTTTGATCACAACTTCAAGCGAAGTCTCTCTTTTCAAGCGATTCATCTCAATGAACAATAATTGACCCTTATATTAGTTAAAACCCTATGGTTCATTTACTGAGTATATTAATGCTGTTTTTGCCCCTCACATTGACTGTGTTCGTTCGTATTCAAAACACCTTTAGGAAAATAAAGGTCATATAAGTCATGTGTATTATGTTTCGAGATAAATGGATTATACGCTTTTTTAAGTTTCCATTTTGCGGTGACTTCAGTTTACATCTCCATAAAATGGTAGAAGAAATATCAAGAAACATCACGAGAGCTGAAAATTTTCAAAGGCATGTTTCTGGAACTCGCTAATGTCGGTCCACGAATTCTATCGCTTAAAAGCGTTTATTACTTTGGAACGAGTGAACAGTACTGAGTGGTCGGAAAAAAAAAAGAAACTTGGCAATTGGCAAAACTGCGATGTTCGGGTGTTCTAAACTTTCATTGTATGGAAATGACCTTGTGATGAGCATGCGGTTTATTTTTGGCGATGATTGAAATGACAGGCCATGTAAATCATTTTTTTGATCTCTGGCAATGATGTAATTTCTCTGGATTCGAGGCCTTTGAATTTTCGTGTATTTATACACGCGTATAGCCGGCGACCGCAGACGTCTTTCCGGTCGTCGCTAAAACGCCTACTAAATCAATCATAGAAACAAATAAAAAGTATCGACGTCGATAAAGTAGGAAGTAAAAAAAAAAACCTTTAGCCGGGTAAATCCTGTTTCGTGTAGAATTAATCGCCTCCTCATTTTTCGATCTAATCTCCATCTCCACGCAAGCGAGAGTGGAGGTCGCTGTAAGAGCGTTCTTGTTTTAATTTGATCAAGTTTACATGATAGGTGGGATGACCCACCACATGTGACCTCACCTGTCTGGGCTCCCCCACCTCCATGCAAACGGGCTCTTGACTTAGAGCTATTTTAGTAGTCGGTTGTCCTTAGAGAAGGCTAATAGTTTTGAAATTATCAAAACACACAAAAAGTATAGTCTAGGATTACTAAAAAAATTATTGTCAGGAGTGGGATTCGAACCCACGCCTCCATTCGGAGACCAGAACGCCCGCCCCCATTTCTTAATGGGAAGGTTTAATGACCTTGAGTCTGGCGCCTTAGGCCGCTCGGCCATCCTGACCCGTATGGTGTAGTGGCGCTATTTTTAAAAATATGCGTAACCGATTTAACCTCTCTTCAAGCCTTCCGTCCCAGAAAAGACAAGATTCTACATA